GCCATAATAAAATTCCTTAGGATAAGAGAAGCCATGAAGTATTTCAATGAGAGAGTGGCATAGTCTGTATAATTTCAGAAAGCTCATTCGATCTATAGTGTAGATGGAGGACAGCCTGCTGGGAGGCCAGAGTGAATATGTGAAGACTATCAGAAGGCTATTATACTAGTCTAGGGTGAGGCATGATGGTAGCCTGGTTCACAGTTGGTAGTGTTGGATTCAGAGCAAAGCAGATAGCTTTGAAGACGTGTTTATTTAGGGGGTAAAATGAGAGTAATTGCTATTGAATTTGATTTACAGGGTGAGAGAAAAGTAAGATTTAGGTTTTTGATTTGAGAACCCTGGTAAATAATAATAAAGTTGCCATTTACTGGGATGAAGAAGATTGGTAGAAAAGTGGGTTTTAGGGACTAGAAGTAACTGTTCTATTTTGGATTTGTTAAGTGGAGCCCTCAGGTAAACGCAATTAGATACACCATTTTGAAGCTTGGGTGAAAGGTTAAAATTTGCTTTTTTCTAAGTGAATAATGCTCCTTTTATTTTTGCATGTTACATTTGAGTGCTTGTTTACACATGTATATTTTAAAAGATAACAGTTGTAATCAAAAGAGACTGTGGTTCAGGAGTTTTACTCCCTATACTTTTGTGCTGTTGTTCAGGTCTTGCAGGAGGATTTTAAAAAAGACTGCTCAGCCTTTGCTCTAAGGAAGGCCACGTAGGCAGTGTGGTCAGGGCAGAGCCCTCATGAGGCCACAGAGAAGCAGCTGATGAACTGTAGTGGAGTGGAGTGGTTGTGGGGTCCCTGGGAGTTTGAAGTTGTTTAGCCTGTTTCTAGGAACTCTGAGCAGTTTTCAAGCCATCCAGAAACAAACACAAAGAGGGCCCTGAACAGATAGTCTCTCCTCATGTCCACTTTTCCAAAGACTAAGGCAGTGGTCCCCAACCTTTTTTGCACCAGGGACTGGTTTCATGGAAGACAATTTTTCCATGGACTGGGGGCAGTGATGGTTTCGGGATGATTCAGTGCATTACATTTATTGTGCAGTCAGACGTCTTTGCTAATGATAATCTGTATTTGCAGCCGCTCCCCAGTGCTAGCATCACCGCCTCGGATCATCAGACAGTAGATTCTCATAAGGAGTGTGCAACCTAGATCCCTTACATGTGCAGTTTACAGTAGGGTTCATTCCCCTAGAGAATCTAATGCCTCTGCTGATCTGACAGGAGGCGGAGCTTATGCGGTAATGCTAATGTTGGGGAGCGACTGTAAATACAAATGAAGCTTAGCTGGCTTGCCTGCCCACCTGCCGTGCTGCCTGGTTCCTAACAGGCCACAGACCAGTATCGGACCTCGGGACTAAGGCTTATGCTCAATATAGGTATGTGGGCTGAAGGCTGCTGTTTGGGGTGACTTCCCAGGCTCTGAGTTTGGGTATCACATGAAGAGTTCAGGAGTTAGGGTCTTTAAGTTTACCTTGGAAATTAAAGGCGCACTGGTTATGAGTACTGTTCTAGCTACATGGACAAAGGCCAGTGCTGGCAGGAGGGTAGAGAGAGGGCACAGCTCTCTGCCAATTCTATCTTAAGAGAGGTAGGCCCCGTCTTAAGAGGACGTGGTGCCCTCTGAATCCTTGTAGGTTTGTCCAGAAGCTGCTTCTGTCACTCAGTTTAGGGAAGCCAAGAAGTTACAAGAGGTCACTGAGTTTAGGTACTGGCCCCTGCGGACACTGATGTTAGCCTGTATCATTAAGTGGATGAGTGTGTATGTGTATGGTGGTGGAGGATGGTGGTGATGAGGAGGGTAGGTGGTAAGGGAAGGAAGGAAACTTGAGTTAAGGACTTCTCTGAACTTTCAACTCATGTATCATCTCATCTAGTCCTCAGTACAATCTTGTGATGTTAATGGGGGCTCAGAGAGGTGACATTCATCTAATGTCACATAGCAGAAAAAGTGGCAGTGTTCTACCACGGGCTTGGCTGATGGCACAGAGGCATTTCCTCATTGTGTTCCTTGGCATGTAAAAAGGGTATGCAGAGAAGGGGAGGGGACTATGGCTAAGTAATCTGGGGAAGTGTTGTGTTAGGCATCTCTATTACAGAGCTTTTCAGGGCTTTTATTAATAAAATACCCATGCGCTTTGTGAAGCTCCTAGAGGGGATATGGGATGTGTTGTGGCTGTATCCCTCGCCCCGCCTCAGGGTGGGCTGTAGAAGGTGGTATGTAATACCTGCTCATGTCGGTTCACCGGTGACTCGGCTGCTTTCTAGAGTGATGCCTATGAGCCATTGCAGACATGGTGGGGGCTTCTGCATGCCATTCAGCAGTAACAGATTAACATGGTGCTTGGAGCTAGAAATGGAAAGCTTGGTTTTTTGTGGAGACTCGCCGCTGCTCCCCTCCCCCCACAACTTGTCATCAGGACTGAAACTGCCTTTGAAAGAACTAGTTTTCCTTGTATGATATTGCTCTTCCTTGGGGCTCACTCCCAGGCCCCCTGCTTTCCTCAGTCTATGTGCATGCTTACACGGTGAGTAGGTGAGTTGAGAAAATTCTTAGCTGGAAGTGACAGAACACCCAACTGACAGTTATTCCACAGAATCTGAAATCTGGGGACAGGCAGTTGAGGGCCCTGGCAGTAACTCAATGATAGTAGGCACTTTCCTTCTTTCTCTTCTGTCCTGAACTATGGTTGGCCATTTTTCCTCAGGCTTATGGCTTCTTGGTTTCAAGATGGTTTTCATAGCTTTAGGTTTCACAATTACATTTGAAGACAGGAATAGGTGGTTTGGTAGGTTTAGACTTAGCAGCTAAAAGGCCCATTTCTCAACCAGCTCTGTCCAGTTTTTAATCCATAAAGGAAAGTATTTCCTGGTAGTCCCCTTTTTTCTCTTTGGTTGAAATGGAGTTATGTGGCCACCCCTAACTGCAAGGGCAGCTGGGAAAGACTCGATTGGCATAGATGGATTATGATCTGTTCTCTGAGACTAGGCACTATGTTTCTCTATTGGCAAGGGGTGTAGCAGGGGGCGGGTCAGGGATTAGAAGGCTCTTAGGTTGTTTCTGCCTTGGTTATCTTATATAAGACTTCATTCAGCACCTGTGCTAATGATGCCTTCATCTGCCTGAGTCTCCTGAACAGATCAGCTACAAGTCAGTTCCTCTTGGATTTACTCAGGAGCCAACCTTGGCTTTTCCTGCCCTACTCCTCCCACATCCAGCCCGTCTGCAGGTCCCATGGATTCTTCCTCCCTATTGCATGATCTTGTGTGTTCCTGACTCTCTAAACTTGCTGTCTCCCCTTCTCCTCCTTTTCTCTCTCCTGTTTTCTTTATCAGCACCCTCACTGCTAGCAATCCAGTTTTCTTTTTCTCTGAACATTTGTCATTTTATTTTAATATTGTATTTTAAAAATTGATATTTTCCTCATGTAGTGTACAGGTTTATGATTTAACACAGGTATATGAATTACACTTTTGTGTAACTACCTCTGTAATTCTTCACGTAACAATTCTATCATCCAGATAATACCTATACATCATAATTCTATTGTTCAAAAAAATTCCCTTGTGTTATTCCTTTATGCTTAACCCCTTCCTCTATCCATAACTCCTGGCTACCACTGATCTAATCACCACCCCTATATTTTTGTCTTTTTTGAGAATGTCATGTAAATGGAATCATATAGGTTGCAACCTTTTGAGACTGGCTTCTTTCACTCACATAGTAATGCCTTTGAGATTCGTTTAAGTTGTGTGTATCAATAATTCACTTGTTTTTATTGCTGAGTAGTATTCCATAGTGTGGATACGCCACAGATTAACTGTTTACTTGTTGGAGGACATCTGGATTGTTTCCACTTTTTGCCTACTTTAAGTAAAACTGCTATCACATTTGTGTATAGGCTTCCTCCCCATTTTTTTTTATTGTGGTAAAATAGAATTAATATAAAATTTGTCATCGTAGTCATTTTAAAGTATGTAGTTCAGTGGTATTAAATACATTCCTATTGTGCAGCTACCACTACCATCCATCTCTAGAACTCTTTTCATCTTGCAAACTTGAAGCTCTGCCCATTAAACGGTATTTCTCATTATCCCTACCCCGAGCCCTTGGCTACCACCATTTTACTTTCTGTCTCTAGGGTTTTGCCTTCTCTAAGTACCTTGTGTAGGTGGAATCATATGGTATTTATCTTTTTGTGACTGGCTTATATATAAGTCTTTATTTCTCTGAGATAAATGCCCAGGAGTGCAATTGCTGGGTTCTATGATGGTTGCATGTTTATTTTTTTAAGAAAACACCCACTTGTCCAGAGTGGAAAAGTTTACATTAGTTTACATTCTCATCAGCAATGTTATAAGTCTAGCCATCTGCAGATTTTGAATTAAATTTCTGGAAAGGTGACTCTGGTAACTGTTGAGTTAGTTGCTTACCCTTAGAGTAGTCATCATGGGCTGATTTAGGAAATAATGGTTGATAGTAAGCCATGGTATTTTCAAAATTTGAAGTTTTAAAAGCAAATACTGCACTACATAAATGAAAAATTTCACATCCTCTTATCTTTCCCTCTTAGCTTTTCCATTGGCCCTGTGTTTATAATCCCCTCCTTTCTGATGCTTAATTCTATTTTTTATTTTCTGTCTTCCATTTAGTTTTTACTGGTCTCTATTTTTTGCATGTGTCTGTGATAATTTGCTCATTGCTGTTTTCTCTATTCTTACTTAGCCCTGAAATTATAACTTTGTTTCCTCTTTCTCTCCTGTGTAAAGTGTTTGCCCTTCAGCATCCTAGGTGCATTTTCTTTCTCATACCAAGTTATATTTATTCTATTCTTTGGGCAGACCTGAGTCTCTCTTACTGATAATTCTTACCTTTAATGGCAAAAGAAGAAAACAACTATCAAGGCTTGATGGAGGAACCTTTTAAGTTTCGTGTTTAAAGGTTGAAGTTCTTAAGAAGGCCTGCTCTTAGCAAGTCTTTTTTTCTCCTTTTCTCACAGGGAAGAAGAAGAACGTCTGAGAAATAAAATTCGAGCTGATCATGAGAAGGCCCTGGAAGAAGCAAAAGAAAAATTAAGAAAGTCAAGAGAGGAAATTCGAGCAGAAATTCAGACAGAGAAAAATAAGGTAGTCCAAGAAATGAAGACCAAAGAGAAGAAGCCACTGCCACCAGTCCCTATTCCAAACCTTGTAGGAATAAGTGGTGGAGACCCAGAAGATAATGACGTAAGAGAGAAAAGGGAAAAAATTAAAGAGGTAATAAGCAGAGATTTATGATATGGAGTGGTTTTGGATATGTATTTGGAGATACACACACATACACACACTCACACACTCTCGCTGTCTATGTTGTCATACTTTGGTCTTGTTTATTCTTGGGTCATAGTTGTAGTTCACTTTCCAAGTTGGCAGTAAGGACTAGAATTAAGTCTCTTTCTTAATATAGATTATAATATAATTAGATACTTAAAACATTTGATATAATATTGTTTGGATGGTTATATCACTCACCTTGTGTTCAGAGATCTTTTGAAATTCAGAATTTTATAAATAATAGATCCATGTATAATTTCTCATTGAATAAGCAATTTCTTAAGTGTTCGGTTATAAGGGACTCTGCTAGAGGCTATGAAAATCTCATAAACATGCTTCTAAAGAGTTAGTATTATATCTGCAATCTTTTAGGGAACATGTCATTATACCTACCCCTCAACCACACAGTAGATTAAGAGCACATTCCTTCCAAAGAGTCTCCGTGGATTGAAGAACAGGGAAGAATTGATCTCAAAATTTTTAGGTTATGTAGGCTGAGAAGCATTTCAATGTGTTATTCTCAAATTACTTAGAGATAAAAATATCAGAGGAGGGGAAAATGTAGTGAATATTTGAGTTTAACTTTATTAATTAGAACTCATGATAATTCTGGGTGGAGTTTGCAATTATAACTGCCTTCAAAGACAAAGATTTTGTCAGAGTGTAATAGCATCAATAATATTTCAAAAGGCTTATTTATCATAAAATAAGATTTAGTTCAAATAGTCAAATATATATATATATATATTCTAGTAATGTAGATAGAAGGTTTAGCAGATATTTAAAGCTTGGCCCTATAGGTTATTATAAAACCTTGACCTCGATGGAGTCAATAGAGCTACAATCTGATTTTATTTCACTTCTAGAGTCTATGTTTTATGTAAGGACTACCTTAAGACGCTCTCTTTGGACAGTGTTGGGGAGACATTGATGGATTTTTTTTTTCAGTTGCCCAACTTGCTTGAATGTCATAATTCATTGAAATACTTTCTCATATACATAATGATTCAGATGGATAACCATTTGTGTTCACAGGACCCCAAGACAATCCTCAGGCTCAGTAATTTGCTAGAAGTATTCACAAAACTCAGTATATAGAAATACATTTGATGTTACTTTATCAAACTTACATCTTCTTACTTTACTGAAGTCATTATTTTAGTAGCTTTTTTGTAGATTACTTGGGATTTTCCTTATACTTAGTCGTGTCCTCTCTGAATGGGGGTATTACTAGGACTGCTTTTGTGCTACAATGGCAGAGTTAAAGTTTGCTGATCTCTGGCCTAAGGGTATGGCCAGCCTGAGTTAATTGATAGTAGAACCTGGCTCTTTGACTGACAACTCTGTCATAATCACAGTGAGGTAAAGGGAGCTATTCCCCAAGGGACTGACAGGGAAGAATACCAAACAGACATCTTCCCCCCCAAGAAAAAGAACTTGTCTTTTACACCCATTTTTTTTTCTGTTGTGTAGGTTGAGATGAAACATGATTATGTGTGTTTTTGCACTAATACAAATGTTAATTGATTAATAATACTAATGTAAGAGGTCTAGGAGAATGGGTAAAAATATAGTAATAGAACTGAAAATTACATGAAATATAAAAATAACAGTTTGTGAATAATTTAAATTGATGGA